AAGGTGCTAACACAGCTACTCCTTTCGCTCACTATCCATTTCAGCAAACTCTACACTGTCACGGACGTCCGCAAATGTACCTAATAGAAATGATGACTAGCGATCTGAGGCATGAATAAAATTTCACAATCGAAAAAATTTTTCGTAAAGGAACTTGAATGATTTTGGCTGCACGCTGGTTCCACGACTTTATTACGAAACTCGTCCTTCCGCGCTTTTGATTTTTTCCTTCCTACGTTATTTGAAAATAGGAATTTTGGCTCATGGTGTGAGGAAGACTGGAATAAAGCCCTGGTGGTTTCAGAGATACTCTCAGAGAGAACATAATAGTGTCTTATTCCTTTGATATTACAACAAGGAACCGAGTATTAGAGTCGAAAAGTGCCAAAGTTCTATTTGCCCGGTCAATAGTCCACCGGCAAATTAACTATACCACGCTTAAATGTAGGACGGGGCCGTAGCACACAGGAACGTTGCCTTGTGGATACATAATAGGGTCAGCAGGAAATTACATCCGCGATTTATCTTGGGGATTGATAGATGGAGAGACAAGGTGAGGAACGTGCCTAGCACATACTTGACCCCTAAACTAACAAATTCTAGGTTCAAGGAAATACTCCATCGGACTATAGGGAGGTCTAGAAACGGTAGGTGCAACAAGTCTGTTGCGGCGGGTGTTTCAATCGTCGCTAGCGCGAGGATTACCCTCCAACGAGACAACACGATTTTCATGAACGCGTACTGGACCCCCAGTTGCCATGGATCTGTGCCGTATAAGAGCACCAAGGTTCAAGGAAATGGCTCCCATACTAGGTGAATGGAAACCGAATGGGACCGAGCATGTCTACTCTCGGGATATCTCTATGCCTTACAAGGAAAATACTCTCGACAGGACCGAGAGTTGTAAACGGGAATGTATACAGCGAACTGTTCTGTCTCGGTCAACGCTGACAAGAGACTACGAATTTACTCCAGCGGGAAAGGGCATTGAAATGTATGAAAAGAAGAATGTGATAATGATAAACCCATAGTATTTCGTTATGTCCAGCAGAATGTATGTCCAATGGTCCAACGGTTCAGACTGCAGAGGAATACTTTCACTGTGAAACACTGTTCCAGATGAGTGCCAGTCTGCCGGTCATCGGTTTGCAAGGATGGACACAGACTAATACGTGTATCGAACGTCTCGTTATCAGCCATGAAGCGATTGCGCAACTGTGTCATTGTAGAGAAAGCTCAGTACCGCGCTCATTCAAGGTATTTGCACATGAAGGAGCAGTAATACGTCCAGCGGGAAATCCATTACCAGTCATCACTCCCCCGTTGAACGAGTGCCAAGTCTTGCCGTCAAGGTCAAGAATGCTCCGAGATAGCGTGATGGAGTGTAATTTTTTTTTCTGATAATGAGCCTTTTATAAAGTTCTCTTCTCGGTTGGCCAATTGATTTTCGTCCTTCCTTGATTGTCGTTCGTCTTGTGTGTTTTTTTTTTTTGTTTTTTTTCCTGTTTTTTATCTTCCTTGTTGTCGTTCGTCTCGGGTTTATTGTTGGTTTTATTTCTGTCCTTGTTATTTTTTATCATTTCGTTTTACTGTGGTTCTTTGTCTCTTGTGGAGTATGAAATGTGTTCCTCTGTTCACCTGTTTTTGTTGTTTTTTTTTCCTTGTTTTTTTATTCTTTGTTTATGGTGGTTTCTTGTCTTCTTTTGTAGGAGTATGGAAATGTGTTCCTTACTTGGGTTCACCTGTTTTTGTTGTTTTTTTTTTTTCTTTTTTATCTTTGTTTATCTGGTTTCTTGTCTCCTTCGTAGGAGTCATGAAATGTGTTCCTCTGTTCACTTGTTCCTCCCTCATATTTTCGTTGTCTTAGCCTCTGTATACTCCGTCTATCCTTCCCCCAATTCAACTCCATTTTCACTCTGGTACCAACATTCCTCTCCCCATCCCAGTACCCATCTCCAAGCCCTGTCCCATACCCCATCCGCTCACTCCCGCCTTCGTTATCCCCGCTCTTCACGCCTCCCCGCCTTCCTTTCTGTATCTTGCACCTCCTGACCTCATACCCCATCGCTCGCCCCCCTTCTTATCCCCCCTTCTGCAGTCACCCACCCCCTTTCTTATCACCCTCCACCCTCCACTACCCATCCCCATTCCCCCATTCTATAACCCGCCTCCCCTACCCTACTACCCTCCTCCATACCCCTTATCCCTCCCCCTCCCCCTTTTCCTCCCCCCCTCCCTCCCCCTGCTTTTACATATTCAGACAGCGAGAGAAACAGAGAGAGAAGGAGAGACCAAAAAGAATTTACAAGTAAGGGATAGAAGGAAAGAGGGAATTGTAGAGAAGCATGTTTGATTAAAGTGGAGGGAGAAAGTGAGGACGAGAGTGAAATGGAGCGGAGAGACGAGGAGATGAAGCCCTAATGTTAGGGTTTGAATATGTATAAGTAAGGGAAAGCAAACGAAAAGAAGTGAAAAAGAGTAACAGAGGAAGGAAGAGAATGATGATCTCAGTGGGGAGGAGAGAGGAGATAGACTGAATAAAGTGAGGGTGAAAAAAGAGAGACGCAAAAGAAGTAGGCTCCCACCAAAAAAGACAATAATAATAAAAATAATTGAATAAAAAATAAAGATAAGAATATTCAAAGCCCATGAAGAAACAGAAAACACAAACAAGACACGTAAATGAAGAAAAACAAATCATGGGGAGAATTAGACAGAGAAGAAGAAAAAGAAAGAAACAAAACAAAATAAGAATCATTAAGATAACACAGCTATGCAATTCCCTTTCTTCCCGGTACCCGTTTAAGGTAAAGCGAACCACCACTCTACCTTAATAGCGTGGGATTTAGAGGGAGGAGCCTCGTTCGACGTCTCGTGATTAGAGGAGGCGTTCCTGGCGGGTTGTTTTCCTTTAGAGGATCGTGAGCGACGGAAGAGGTTAGAGAGCGTCCATTTGGTGAAAGAGTTCGCGGTAAAGGCTCTAGATGGTGTTGAAGTGGCGGGAGAGGGAAGCGTTGGTGCGAGTGATTGTTGGGGGGGGAGGTTTTGAGAGGAAGGGTGGGTCTTGAGGGTGGTGGGAGGAATGACATTATAAATCAGGGAGGAAGTGGATGAGAGGAGGGCGTGGGGGAGGGATGGGAGGGAGAGGAAGCAGGGAGAGTGTGAGGAGAAAGGATTATGAGAGGGAGAGCGTCGGATGTCGCGGAAGGGAAGGGTGACGAGAGTATAGTGGTCTGGGTTGGGAGGTGTGGGGAGCATTCGCGTAGTTCGAAGGATTGGGGTTGAAAACAAAAGAAAATAACGGTCGGGAGGGAATTAGGGAAGAGAGAGAGAATCAGAGATATATTCGATAATAGAATTTAGACAGTGAGTTTGTGAGTGAGAAGAGAGAGAGAGATGAGAGAGACGAGAGGAGAGACAGTAAGACAAGAGAGATGAAAGAGATGAAACACCAGTAAGAGAGAGAGATATGAGAGAGACGCATAATGAGAGATGGAGGAGAGAGAGAGGACCTCATAACAGTGGGAGTAGTGTGTTTTATATTGTGATGATCATCTCATAATTTTCTCTTAATGTCAACTTCTCTAGTTCGCGAGATTCTCCCCGCATTTGAAGTTCACAATTGACTTAAAGGAAAGGCAATCTATTAAAGGAAATGTGCAAGAATGCATTACTTGGAAATTGTTTCAATTGATCAATGAACAGCCTGTTCCATTTCACGGGCTTCAAGATGACTGTCACTTTTGCAAATTCATCTGCATATTTTCAAACTTTAACGCCGAATTTAGGGACGACGAATCACCAATGGAATCAATAAAACATCAACGGTCACGGGCATTTTACCCTCCTTGATAATCAAGAGATTGTTATGCCGCGGAAGGCAAAATAAATAGTCATAATAATATATGAATAAATTGTAATAATAATAATTAATAATGATTAAGATAAGTGAAAAAAAAAAAAAAAAAAATAATAATAATCAATATAATAATTAATATATTAAATAATAATAATATAATACATAATAAGAAAATAAAACCAAATAGATTAAATGATACACAATTAATTTTCAGTTCGTTTGATCGTCTTGGACCTGGTGCGTTCTGTACGTAAACATGACAAAGAACATAAATATATCACGGCAGTTGAGGTATCATTACTTCTCTTAATTTTTTTAATCCAGAATAGAGCGAACGAGGGAAAGTATTGAAACTCGAAAATTAGTTTGTAGATTACGTAAATGCAAGTAAAAAGTCACAAAACCTAGCAGAAACCTCTCTCCGTTCGCATCCCTGCCTCCTCCTCCTCCATCTCCACACTAGATTCAGAATGGGGCCCAAAAGGGAAGAGGGAAATTTTCAGAAGAGAGGTTTGCATAAGTTTTGTATAAGTGGGGGAGATAGGGAGGAGAGGAAAAGGAGGAAAGGCAGAGAGAGGGAAGAGAGTGGATAAGGGGGAGAGAGGGAAGAGAGTGGAGGGAGGAAGGGAGGGGAAGAGAGGGAAGGAGAGGTGGGAGAAGGGGGGGGGGAAAGAGGTAAGAGAGTGTTGAAAGGAGTGAGAAATGTGGTAAGGAGGGTGATAGAAGTTGGGGAGAGAAGAGAGTGAAAGAGATAGGGTGAATAAAAAATGAAGAGGAGGCAAAGTAGTGATTACACAAAGATAAAGACAAACAACAGGCAACTAGACAACAGTGGAATTCAGTGAAGCCGAGTTAGAAAGACAGATATAGGAAAAAGAGAAATACACAGTGATACCCAACCCCTCCTTCTTTATCACCTCCAAACCTCCATACCCATCCTCCCCCGCCCCCCCCCCCCCCCTACTCCCATACCCTCCCTCCTACCCCCCCCCCCCCATCCCTACCCTCCCTCCATACCCCCATCCCTCCCTCCATACCCCTCCCCATCCATATCCCTCCCTCCTGCCCCATATTACCCCCCTCCCTTACCCTCCCACACCCCCTCCCCTTGCCTCACCACACCTCGGACTCCTGACGGGGAATGACCTCGGGGCAGAAACGCAACTTCAAACAACTGGAATGTGTCCTAGACGGTGCCAAGTCCACTGCTCGTGTCTCCATCACGTTCAGCGTCGAGAATGTCAATGGCACGACTGCTTTTTACGTTCTTTCACTTATGATCGTAAGTCTTCGTTCAATACCGTTGCCTCTGTCCCGTGTAGGGCGGTACAAAGCACGTATGTATCCCTCTTATTGTGTTGTACATTTTTTAGGGATCATTTACGTACTGTATTTCATGTAAAATACGCCTTATTTGGGATGAAATGGACCTCAGTAACATCCTTAAGAATATTTATTTATCGACTTCCAGTACAAGTTTAAGAATATTTACTTATCGACGGCTTTTGTAAACGTGATATTTTCCAGATATAGAATCAGTAATAATAGACAATCGAATCACTAGATAACAAACCGAAAAGAACGTAGAGTCTACTGATAACAGTACTGCCTAATTTCGTAGAATTTACAAAGACCAGTTTATTTCTACAGATACATGATTAACACTGGATCTATACTCTCGCTCCTTGCAAGGTAAGCGTGTTTTATGAATATCACGATTCAATCTATGCATTTGATATGAATGTGCGTAAGTATGTGTGAGTGTACATGTTCATATATTATCTTTGCGGGTGTTTATTTTTTTATTCTGTCTGAACCGCCGATTCATAACAAGTGTGAATGTCGTGCTTTTCGGATATTGATTGCGTCTGGTACTTGTCGGTTGGCCTTATATTCTACTTTTCTCCGTCTGTCCCATCTCCTCAACTTTACTGTACGTTGGCGTTGTTATCGTGTTTTCCTTTTTATATGAAACGATCGTATCTGATGATTTCTTTTCTTGTTTATTTTCCCAACTGTACTTTGCTGTTATTATGTTTTTCCTTTTTGATATGAAACGATACTCTGATTTTTTTTCTTGTTTATTTGAACTTTACTGTACTTTGCTGTTATTATCATGTTTTCCTTTTTGATATGAAACGATCGTATCTGATGATTGCTTTTCTTGTTTATTTTGGTCAAGAGAAGGTGCAGGCGAACCACGCTTCTCAGAACGCAAACAAACACGTTGTTTCGCCACGTGGGAGAATCCCGGTGTTATGATTGCTCTTCGGAGTCGCCGTGGGAGAGGTTGAACGAGGTTCCCCTAAGTGGGCACCTACGTTCGCGGGTTCCTTAATCCCTTTGCCCTTAACCCCTTAACCCTTAACACCTCGTCTATCACTCCTCCCCCCCTTAAACGCTTCCCTAACCCCCCTCCCCTTACCCCAACCAGTCCAGAACAACGTAAGAGGCAGGTATGTGGGGGGGGGGGGAGGGAGGGAAGAAGGGGGTGAATCTCTCAAGGTCGTGAGTACCTCTCCAGCTGCGTGACTTTACCCATCCCATTTTTACCACCCTCCCCCCTTCCCCCCCCTCCCTCCCCCCCCCGCCATTATCTCCATCTCGAGCTTTGTTTACATCGCTGCCGAGGTTCTTCCTCCTTCCTCCCCTCCTCCTCCTCTCCTCCCTCTCTTCTCCATTCCATTCGTCCTCCTCTTCACTATCTCTATTCCTCCTCGCTCAAGGCTATGGAGTCCAGACGGGCGGCGCGCGAGTGGGTAGGGCGTTGCATAACACTCAGGGCTAATTACACCCACATAGGAGGATCCCGTGAAGAGAGAGGGTGGTGGGGGAGGGAGGGGAGGGAGGGGAGGAGGGGAGGGAAGGAGGGAAGGAGGGAGGGAGGGGAAGGAGGGAGGAGGGAAGGGAAGGGAGGGAGGGGAGGGAAGTGGGGAGAGGGAGAGAGGAGGAAGAGAAAGAGAGAGAAGAGAGAGAGAGAGGACGAAGAGAGAGAGAGATGAGAGAGAGAGAGAGAGAGAGAGAGAGAGAGAGAGAGAAGAGAGAGAGAGAGAAGAGAGAGAGAGAGAGAGAGAAGAAAAGAAAGGAACTAAGGAGAAACATAAAGAAAAAATAAATACAGATAGACAGCCGACATACAAAGAGATAGACAAAAAAAAGAAGAGATTAAAAAAAGGGGTAGAGCAAAACTCAACGTCCATCTCCCCCCCCTCCCACCTCCCACCTCCCTCCCCCCTCATGAGCAGCAACTCGTAGACAACGAGAGACAAAAAAAAAAAAAAAAAAAAAAAAAAAAAAAAAAAAAAAAAAAAAAAAAGCGATTAAATAAAAAAAAGTGGTAGAGCAAACTCGGCGTCCGTCTCCCCCCCCCCCACCCCCCCCTCCTCCCCCCTTCCTCACCCCCCCCCCCCTCATGAGCAACAACTCGTAAACAAGAACGATTAACTGCTTGTCTCGTGTTTCTTTGTCTTGCTGAAGAAACGGAATCCGGCGGAATCTGCGGTTGGCTTCGTTTCGCCTGTTAGTAAGACTCGTGATAGGATTTCCCTTTTTTTCTCTCCTTTCCTTCTGTTGCCTTCTTCTCTTTTTTTTTCTCTTGTCCTCCTTCTTATCCTTTCCTTCCCTTGTTCTTCTCTTATCTTGTCTTATCTTTTTTTCTCTCTCCTTCCCTTCCCTTCCCTTGTTCTTCTCTTCTCTTTTCTTATTTTCCTCTTTTTTTCATATCCTTCCTCCTTTATTGTCTTCATTTCTTGTTCTTCGTCTTTATCTTTCCTTCTTCCTCTTTCCTTCCTTTGCTTTTTCCTCTCCTTTCCTCCCTTCCTCTTCCTTCTCTTCCCTTCCCTCCCCAATCCCTTGCTATCTCCTAACATCCCCCCCCCTTTCCCTTCATTTTCTTCTCTTTCCTTCCCTCTTCCAATTTTTCAAATCATTATCCCTCCCCACTCCTCTCCCTTCCCTCCCCAACCTCCCCCACCTCGTCTCCCTCTCCCTCTCCTATCCCCTTCTTTCTTCCCTCTTTTCTTCGTTTGGCAAAGTCATAAGATTTAGGTAGATGGAGGATAACTATGATAATAATGCTAATGATAGTGACAGTAAATATATAATGTTATTAATGACACTACTACTACTACTACTACTACTACTACTACTACTACTACTACTACTACTACTACTACTACTACTACTACTACTACTGCTACTACTCTTAATGATAATAATATAAATCACGATTATTATGATAATACTGATATGACACTGATAATATGATGATAAAGATAAGATAAAGATAATATAATAATGATGACAGGATAAGAATAATACCACCAATGCCACTTGCAAGGATAATGATGATAACGTTAACAGTAATGATAATGACGAGATTACCACGTCCATGATAATGACTCACCATTATTCATGCTGTCATTAGTCTCTCGTAATGACTGGCATTATCTCAGACTCACGAACTAAGCTAAATTATATGAATAATGAAAGACTGAAACGCCCATTAAATAAAAGTCTGTGTTTATCATACTTGTGGGAGCGGTTACTACTGTGTTAGAACGGGGAGTAAAGTAGATGAGCTAAAGGAGGGAGATAGAAGGATAGGAAGAATTAATGAAAGATTAGTAAGCGAAATAAATGAATGAGGAATAAAGTAGATAAGCTAAATGAGGGAGATAGAAGGATAGGAAGAATTAATGAAAGATTAGTAAGCGAAATAAATGAATGAGGAAATAGATTGATGAATGAATAAAGAAAGAAGGAAAGGAAGAAAACAGATGAATGAGTAATAAAGACATAATCGGATGAAACTAAATGTAAAACGTAAGACGAATAAACAGATGGAGATAGAATGATAGAAAATGAATGACGGATTGGTAAACGAAATAAATAGATAAATAAATCGATGAAGAAAGAAAAAAAGAAAACTAACCAACAGTTGAACGAATAATAAAGACATAATCGGATAAAACTAAATGTAAAATGACAAAATAAACAGATGGAGATAGAAGGATAGAAAATGAATGGCAGATTAGTAAACGAAATAAATAAATAAGTAAATAGACTGAATAAATAGATAAATAAAGAAAACAAAAAAAAATGAATGAGTAATAAAGACATAAACGGATAAAACTAAATATAAAAAAAAAGTTAGACAGACGGATAGACAGACCGCTACGCCCTTGATCTTTCACATGAGGTCAACGTGTGACTAAATATACCCTTTTATTGTGCGTGTTATTCTGGGAAGCTCTGCGTTAAAGGCCGTGTCACACTCACGATGGTAATCATAATTCTGACAAGATTAAAAGGTACTGTGACACTGGCACTTGTTCCGTCGATTTTTTGGGGCAATTTTATTGAACATAGATACAAACATTCTCGGATATAGCTCTTGATTTGACTTTGTTAGGCTGAAAAAAGTTGACGGAAAGGTTTTCAGACGGAAACGGTCATTATCGTCTGACTGGAAAATCGACAATTCGCTCAAAAATGGACAAAATTTCAGAAAATTGTCAGAAAAAATTGAGGGAAAAAGTGCTAGTGTGCCAGGACCTTTAATCTGTCAGTATCATGATTACCACCGAGATCTGGCGTAGGAGGAGGTACTTTTGGGAACGTGAAAAGGATCAACTTTATTGCGGTGTTCAGGAGGAAGGGAAATGCTTTAGAAATGAGAAGGAGACAGAGAGAAGAAAGACACAGCGTTCTTCTTCTCTCTGTCTCCTTCTCGTTCCGTTCTTCTCTCCAACTCCTCTTCCTGTTTCTGTTCTTTTCAACTCCTCTTCTTCTTTCCGTCTTCTCTCCTCCTCCCTCCTCTCTCCCTTCTTCTCTCTTCCTCCTCCTCCTCCTCATTCCGTTCTTCTCTCCTCCTCCTCTTCATCTTTGAGTTTCTTCTCTCCTCCCCCTCCTCCTCCTTTCCTTCTTCTCTTCCTCCTCTCCTCTTTCCCTTCTTCTCTCTTCCTCCTCCTCCTCTCTGCGGGTTTTGCTTTTCTGAGATTTCGTGAGTGTGTATGACTGTCACGAGGGATTCCGTGTTGGATTTAACATGTATCGGGGGATATGTTTCAGGATTACTGACGCTCACTGTATGATTTGTGTGTATATATATATATATATATATATATATATATATATATATTATATATATATATATATATATATATATATATATATATATATAGAGAGAGAGAGAGAGAGGAGAGAGAGAGAGAGAGAGAGAGAGAGAGAGAGAGAGAGAGAGAGAGAGAGAGAGAGAGAGAGAGAGAGATAGATAGATAGATAGATAGATAGATAGATAGATAGATAGATAGATAGATAGATAGATAGATAGATAGATAGATAGATAGATATAGATAGATAGATAAATAGATAGATAGATAGATAGATAGATAGATGATAGATACACATAATGAGTGTCTGCAAGTGTGAAATTAGTGTCCAGTCACATTACCCTAAGAACTCCATCAGTGCCGCCCACCCCCCCCCCCCACCCCACCCAGCCACTTGCGCCGCCCCCCCCCCGCCCCCCCCCCCACCACCCGCTTGCGCCGCCACCGCCCTCCGTTCGCCACAGCCACGAAAAAACCCGGTCTGGCGGGCATTCCGTAACCTTCCCATATCCGGAAAAAAAAAGAATTCGTTGTACATGTGCAGAAGCGGTTGTTCCTGTACTCCGCGTGGACTATTTTGTTCAGGGCGCTCGATGCTGCAGATGTGAGAAAGGTGTTTTCTTGTGTAAATTGCTCAAGTTTGCATTTAGTTGTTCACGTGTGTTGTTTTTGAGAAGGAAAAAATTTGATCGAATCACATGAATAAGAATTAAAACAATGTGAAAAATTATACATGCAAAACACACACACACACACACACAACACCACACACACACACACACACACACACACACCACACACACACACACACACACACACACACACACACACACACACATATATATATATCTATATATATTATCTATATATATATATATATATATATATATATAATATATATATATATATTATATATATATATATATATACATTACATACCTACACATACATACATGTATGTATATATATATATATATATAATATATATATATATATATATATATATATATATATATTATATATATATATATATATATATATATATAATATATATATATATATATATATATATATATATATATACATATATATATATACAAAAGCCAGAAAAAAACAGGTTTTGGTCATTGCCCCGAGATACTGAAACGCTTTTCTTTTTCCCGAAGTCAATTCGCGGGGAAACGGTCTCACATTTGACCTAATGCATGACGTCACGTTCCCGTTGACCTGAGCGGATGTGAAAGTGGGAAAAGTCTTCGAGTTCGTTGTGATAATTCGGATACGAAACCACGATTTGTGAAGTGCATTCGTGTGGAAGTGAAGGATGGCGTTAACTTGACTCGTTCTCCGTGTGGAAATTAGGATTGGAGTGTAATATGTAAAATGTAAAATGTTGTAACGTTTACAGAATTAGGATAGGAGGTAAATGTAGAAAAAATAGTAAGAATAAACAAAGAAATAAGTATATAAACAAGTTGTCGACATAACTGTCCGTCTCTTACCTAACCTTCTCCTCTTCCCTTTTCGTCTGTTTCACTTCGCACGAATTTTCCCTTCTTTATTTCCTTCCTTTCTTTTCTTCAATTCTTACATAATATTCTTTCCACATCTTTTCTAGTTTCCGACGAAGGGCTGAGGGAAAGGATAAAAATGAAATGAAATGAGATTCTATTTTCATAACATCCGACAGGTGCAGTGTTGCCATCGCCGGATTTAGTGTCCACCTGGCGTTGCTAATTACATCCGGGAACTTAAGGATTTGAAATAAAACGCGGGAAAGAGTTGCGGAAAGCGGGGTTGAGTAATGGGACGAAGTGAGAGAGAGGGAAAAGGAGACGAAGTGAGAGAGAGGGAAAAGAGACGAAGAGGGAGAGGAAAGGAGAGGGAGGGAAAGGTAAGCTATAGGTAGAAGGAGAGGGAGAGGGAGAAGAGGGGGAGAGGGAGGGAGGGAGATGGGGAGGAGGGATATATAAAAAGATAAGATAGATAGAGAGAGAGAGAGAGAGAGAGAGAGAGAGAGAGAGAGAGAGAAGAGAGAGAGAGAGAGAGAGAGACAGACAGACAGACAGACAGACAGACACAGATACAGACACGGAGGACACGGACAACAGACAACACACACACACACCACACACACACACACACACACACACACACACAGAGAGAGAGAGAGAGGAGAGAAGAAGAGAGAGAGAGAGAGAGAGAGAGAGAGAGAGAGAGAGAGAGAGAGAGAGAGAGAGAGAGAGAGAGAGCGAGAGAGAGAGAGAGAGAAAGAGAGAGGAGCGAGAGATAGAAGGGGGGGAGAAGGATAAGAGGGACAAGATTTGATAAAGGAAATGCCTACTTGGGAACAAAAACCCATATGAATCAAAATTCTCAGTACAACAAGATGTGGAAATAGGAATACGAAAAAATATACGACACATACAATCTAGAAATAAATAAATCCCTCTATGATAGAAAAAAAAAAAAAAAACGATAAAAAAAAGTATTTTACAGATGATTGCGATGATAGACCGTTTTTTTAAGACAGTGAAGCAGCTATCAGATATCAAAGGAAAATAAGAGATGGTTGGATCACCTACCCCCCACCCCCCCACCCACCCAACCCCAACCCCCCAGCAAACAAATGTGCCAGGGAATTCCCACTGACGAGGCGCTGAGCTTTTTCCTGTCGTTTTCGGGGGTCTCTCTGTGTGTTTGTTGTTATATGTTTGTTTGCTTTGTCATTTTTCGGTGGCTGTTCTGTTGGTCTCTGTTTTTGTGTTATGTCTTTGTAATGTCTCTCTGTATGTGTTATCTAAATGATGGTTTGCTTTGTCTGTATGTCTGTCTCTGTCTGTACGAGTATGTTTGTCTGGCTGCCTCTGTTCTGTCTTGTCTGTCTGTGCTGCCTCTGTCTGTTATTCTGCCTCTGTGTCTGTCTGTATGTCTCTCTCTATATTCCTGTCTCTGTTTGTATGTCTGTCTGTCTGCCTCTGTCTGTGTCGAGTATGTTTGGTCTGGCTGCCTCTCTTATATGTCTGTATGTTTTGTGTCTCTGTGTTTTGTATGTATGTCTGTCGCTGTAAGTATATGTCTGTCTGGTCTGCCTCTGTCTGTCGATTATGGCCTTTATGTATGGCCTTGTCTGTCTTTCGCCTATTGTCTGTCTGTCTGGAATTGCCTTGCTGTTTATGGTCTGTCTGGTGCCATAATCGGTCTGTCTATATGACTATCTGGTCTGTCTGGTCGTCTCCTGACTGTCTCTCTCTCTCTCTCTCTCTCTCTCGTCTCTCTCCTCTCTCTCTCTCTCTCTCTCTCTCTCTCTCTCTCTCTCTCTCTCTCTCTCTCTCTCTCTCTCTCACACACACACACACACACACACACACACACACACACACACACACACACACACACACACACACACACACACACACACACACACACACACACACACACACACACACACGCACAAAGCACACTTTCTCCCCCTTTATGTGCAAAGCTGACCGGAATGTTGTATAATGTTGAACTTGTTGCTTCCACTCCCAGCGCTGTAAGAATCCTGTCTGACACGAGATCTATTAATATCATTATTATCAATATCATATTAATGATACTAGGAGAATTTTCATGATTATTAGTAATTTTGTTTTTGCTGTTATTATTTTTAATATTATCAATTTTGTCATAATTACTATTATTATTATTGTTTTTCTTTATCATTATCGCCATCATCATCATTTTCGTTATCATTATTATAGTTGGCATTATCAATCGTTATTATTACATTATCATTATCATTAGTATGATGATCATCATTATTGTTATCATTATTGATATTGTCATTATTATCACAACTATCATCATCGTCATTATCATAATCTCCGTCTGGGTCTTAATAAGGAAGAAAATTAATGGAAGCTGGAAAGTCGAGGTTTCACAAGGCGCGAGGGACAAGTCTGGAGTCCCAGTTAACCTTGACATATTATCCCTTGTAACTTCACGGCAGGAAAGGCTTAGGGGAAGGGGTGGTGGAGGTGTGGAGGGGTTTGGGAAGTATGGGAGGTGGAGGGTGGAAGAGGATGGGGGAGGGGTGGGTATGGATGGGCAAGAGGAGGGGTAAGGGGGGTCAGACGGGAGGACATACGGGACTTCCAGAACCAAGATGGACGACTCTCCCGCCTCTTCAAGCAATCGTTGTGAGATTCTTTTAAGGGAAATATCGTATCGTTTCCGAAGGAGAAAGAGAAACGATTCTGCAATTTGCATTTAATTTGTAATACGATTTGGAACGTCCATGTTTATTATTATCAATCGTTTCATCGTAGGTTTAAATTACGAGGGAAAAGTACAGTTGGCAACCCCTCCACGTAGTCGGTCATCACACGAAAAGTCGAAGATTCAACACAAGACCATCCTGTTTTTTTGTTTTTTTTATTGTATAGCATATATATCGGCCTATTTCCTCGCAAAAACTGCCTAGCGACATCGAAAACCTCCCTGTTTTATTGTCTCTTATTTTGCTATTTTCAAACTGCCATTACGTTGGTATTTGTATTACCATTATTTTATTGCAATCAGTCATGGTTGATTATCATTGTTGTTGTTGGTATTGCTAATGTAACGTGGTTACCATTATTATTATTATCATTGTTATTATTATTACCATCATCATCATAATCCTCATCATCATCTTTATTATTATTTTTATTATCATTATTATTATTATTATTACTTTTATTATTGTTGTTCTTATTATGATTATCATCCTTATTATTACCTTATCATTATTATTATCGTCATCATTCATCACAAACCCTCCTCGGTCTCTCCCCCCCCCCCCGCCCATAGGAACCTCGTGAAGCAGACGGGCGCGACGCTGAGCACCCAGGAGGAGGCGCTGAAGGCGGCGAAGGTGGTGGTGGTCGCCGTCGGGAGGGACCACTACGACTACCTGCCCATCTCCCTCCTCAGGAACAAGGTCCTCATCGACGTGTCCAACAACACGGAGAAACGCAGAGGCCCTCAGTGAGTACTTGGGGGAAGAGGGGGTGGATAGGGGTGGGGGTGGGTGGGAGAGAGGAGAAAGAAGAGTGTAGGGGTGTAGAATTGGAGGAGGAGAATGAAGAAAAGGAAGGGAGGAGGAGGAGAGGAGGAGGAGGAGGAGGAGGAGGAGGAGGAGGAGGAGGGAGGAGGAGGAGAGAAAAAAGAGGAGGAGGGGGAGAAAAGAAGAAAAAGGAGGAGGAGGAGAAAATAGAAAAGGAGGAGGAGGAGGAGGAGAAGTGGGGACAGGAAAAGAAAGAGAAGGAAAAGAGGAAGAGGCAAAAGCAAACAGATTCGGAGAGTCAAACGCTGATTTAAGAGGGAAGAAATATAGGAAGAATAGGAGAAGGAGAATTAAAGAATTAAATTAATAATTAAGAATTAAATAAATCAAATTAAAGAATTAAACCTATTGAAGAACTTTAGCGGAACACACAGCTCTAGAATTCACCCAAAGCGATGCAAAATAACCTTACATCCTCACCCTCCATCCCCCTGTGACACCTTCTTATTTTTTTAACTCGTTCGCGAATTCCTTGCAGTTACCGCAGCAACGCCGAGTACCTGCAGGGCCTGGTACCGGAGGCCAAAGTGGTCAAGGGCTTCAACGTGCTGTCGGCCTATGCGCTCGAGAACGGCGGACTCCAGGGCAGTAAAGAGGTCAGGCGCTTGGCAGTTGGCCGCGGGTACACGTGCACGTAGGCCTATGCGTGAATATAGATGTTCATATTCGTATAAATATAGACATAGAGACATAGAAAACGGAAATAAACATACATATACGTGGATACAGAGAAATAGATGTGGACAAGGACGCAGATTCATATAAATATAGACATAGAGACATAGAAAACGGAAATAAACAGGGGCACATACATATACGTGGATACAGAGAAATAGATGTGGACAAGGACGCAGATTCATATAAATATAGACATAGAAAACGGAAATAAACAGAGGCACAGACATATACGTGGATACAGAGAAATAGATGTGGACAAGGACGCAGATTCCTATAAATATAGACATAGACATAGAAAACGGAAATAAACAGAGGCACAGACATATACGTGGATACAGAGAAATAGACGTGGACAAGGACGCAGATTCATATAAATATAGACATAGAAAACGGAAATAAACAGAGGCACAGACATATACGTGGATACAGAGAAATAGACGTGGACAAGGACGCAGATTCATATAAATATAGAAGACATAGAAAACGGAAATAAACAGAGGCAGTGGATACAGAGAAATAGATGTGGAAAGGACGCAGATTCATATAAATATAGACATAGAGACATAGAAACGGAAATAAAACAGAGGGCACAGACATATACGTGGATACAGAGAAATAGATGTGGACATGGACGCAGACATGCATACGACAGTGACATAGATATAGACGCATGCAGACATACATACACAGACATACATTTATACATTCGTATGAATGTAGACATGGAGATAGAAACTGACATAAACACAGACATAAACATAGACAAAACATTGACATTAACATAAAAATAGATATACATACAGGCATAGATACAGATCCAGACACAGACATATACTTACACATATGCGTATTCATGTACAGATATACATATACATAAACATAAACATAAACACACACACACACACACACACACACACACACACACACACACACACACACACACACACACACACACATAGAGAGAGAGAGAGAGATAGAGAGAGAGAGAGAGAGAGAGAGAGAGAGAGAGAGAGAGAGAGAGAGAGAGAGAGGAGAGAGAGAGAGAGAGAGAGAGAGAGAGAAAGAAGATAGATAGATAGAGAGAGAGAGAGAGAGAGAGAGAGAGAGAGAGAGAAGAGAGAGAGAGAGACACACACACACACACACACACACACACAACACACACACACACACACACACACCCCACACACACACACACACGCACACACCCGCACCCACACCCACACCACCTACCCCCCCCCCACACACACCCACCCACACACACACACACCCACACCCACACACCACACACACACAACACACACCCTCCCCCTCCCCCACCTACCCCCCACACACACACCCTCCCCCCCACCCTCTTCCCACCTACCCCCCACACACACACACCCTCCCCCTCCCCCACACACACCCACCCCTCTCCCCCAGCAGCGACCAGCCCAACCCCACCTCCTCCCCCGCAGGTCTTCATCGCCGGCGACAATGGCGAGGCGAAGGCGAGCGTGGCGGAGGTGGCTCGCGTGATGGGCTTCCACCCGGTCGACTGGGGCAGCCTGCAGGCCTCCAGGGACATCGAGGACGTGCCCCTCAAGTTCATGCCCTCGTGGAAGCGCCCTGTGGCTGTCGTCTTCGGCCTCTTCGTGTTCCTGTGGCTCCTTGCCTTCCTGTCGTAAGTGCGAGATTCATCCTGTGGTTTTGTTGTAGTCATTTATGCTTTTTGTGTGTATTTTAGGCGCTTTTTTTTGCTATTTTTGTCAATTTGTTTAGTAACTATGATTATTTTTTGTTTTAGATTTTTTTTTTTTTTTTTTTTTTAGTAGCTGATTATTTTGTATTTTTTTTTTTCGTTGATTTATTCAGTAACTTTATGATTTTCTGTTTTAGATTTTTTTTTTGGTATTTTGTTTATTTGTTTAGTAACTTTATGGTCATTTTTGTGTTTTAGATTTTTTTTTTTTTGTATTTTCGTTGATTTGTTTCAGTAACTTTATAATTATTTTTGGTATTCCAGGTTGTTGTGATATTCAATCGTTGATTTTTTTTTCTCCCAAGTACATTTATATTTGTTTTTGATATTCAAAGTTAATGAAATATTCAATCGTTGATGTATTTCTTTATTTTTTTTTCAAAATAGATATATGATCGTCTTTGATATTCAAAGTTATTGCGATCTTCACTCATTGATATACTTCTTGTTTTTTTTTCTTTTTTCTTTTTTTCTAAAGGTGACTTGTTTCTTTTGTCATTCCAGGTTCCAGATCTGTTTCAACCTGTACCTTGGCGGGTGGGAATGGGGCTGGAAACATCTTGGAATGCAAAACTTCAACCGAGTAATTGCCATTCTTGCGCTGTGGACTCTTTCCTTCTGCTACATTCCAGGTAAGCATTGTGATTCCTTCTCGAAATTGGTCACTGCCATGGACACATCCAACAGTACAGGCAGCAATATATACACACATATATAGGTAAAACGATAGACAGATATATAGATAAATGGATGTATACACACACACACACACACACACACACCACACACTCATACATATACCTACACACATACATACATATATATATATATATATATATATATATATATATATATATATATATATATTATATATATATATATAACATTGGTCTAGCATTTCACACAGAGAAACGTGGATGTCAACGAAGTAATTGGAATTGAGGTACTTTTTTATTTTTTACCAAGTATACTGAAACCGGTATTTCAAAACGATTATTAGATAAAAGAAAAAATCCTTGTTTTTTCATCTAATGAATTAACCGCAGATGGTATTCCTTTCCCTGAACAAAATACACACATATCTGATGAACTAACCGCAGATGGTATTCCTTTCCCTGAACAAAATACACACACACACCTGTCGACGAACTAACAGCAGATGGTACTCCTTCCTCTGAACAAAATTTCCACATAACTACTAACTACTAACGAATTAACTGAACCGCAGATGGCACTTCTTTCCCTGAACAAAATACCCACATACCTGATGTCGAACTACTCGTAGATGGCACTCCTTTCCCTGAACAAAATACACATACCTGATGAACTAACCGCAGATGGCACTCCTTTCCCTGAACAAAAAACACATACCTGATGAACAAACCGCAGATGGCGCTCCTTTCCCTGAACAAAATACCCACACACCTGACGACGAACTAACCGCAGATGGTACTCCCTATACTGAACAAAATGTCTGATGGCGAACTAACCGCAGATGGAACTCCTTTCCCTGAACAAAATACATATCTGATGAACTAACCGCAGATGGTACTCCCTTCCCCAGGTCTGTTAGCAGCGTACATCCAGCTGTGGCGCGGAACGAAGTACAGCCGCTTCCCCAAGTGGCTCGACGACTGGCTCAAGATGAGGAAGCAACTGGGCCTCATCATGCTCGGGTTGGCTGGCATTCACGTAAGGAGGATCTCAGTTCTGTCACTTTTTTTCCTTTTTATAAAGTGGAGTGTTTGAGATAAGACTCTTCCTTCAGATAAGGCTCCAATCGCTATCAAAATCTGGATCATGATCCGCATAGAACGAAGGAGACAATACCACGAAAAGGAATAAATATGTGGCTTCGCTTCAGCTTATCCGTGCGGTATTTTACGCTCGGTACAGAATCCTCATCCATCTAACCGTACCCTTTTTTTTCATCCGCCATTCCCAGGCTTGCATCTCTGTGGCTTACATCACGCCCAAGACGACCGAGTGGGTGTACGAGGAACCCACCAAGATCAAGGCGCTGGTGGAGATCAGCAAGAACACGACGGAGACGAAGACGCTCAAGCTGTACGACTCGGAATTCAACTGGCGGGGGGAGCTCTTCCTTACGATGGGTCAGTATGGGTCGGGTTGTGCTGAGGAAGGTCGTTCTTCCTTCTCTCTCTCTCTCTATTTCTCTCTCTGTCTCTGTTCCTGTCTCTGTCTCTGTCTCTCTGTCTGTCTGTCTGTCTGTCTCTCTCTCTCTCTCTCTCTCTCTCTCTCTGTCTCTGTTCTGTCTGTCTGTCTGTCTGTCTGTCTCTCTCTCTCTCTCTCTCTCTGTCTCTGTTTCTGTCTGTCTGTCTGTCTCTGTCTCTGTTTCTGTCTGTCTGTCTGTCTCTCTCTCTCTCTCTCTCTCTCTCTCTCTCTCTCTCTCTCTCTCTCTCTGTCTGTCTGTCTCTGTCTCTGTCTCTGTCTCTGTCTCTGTCTCTCTCTCTCTCTCTCTCTCTCTCTCTCTCTCTCTCTCTCTCTCTCTCTCTCTCTCTCTCTCTCTCTCTCTCTCTCTCTCTCTCTCTCTCTCTCTCTCTCTCTCTCTCTCTCTCTCTCTCTCTCTCTCTCTCTCTTGTTATTGTTAATACCCTGTATTCATTATCATTGTTATGATCATTGTAATACTTTTCTTCTTTATCATTATCATAATCATCATAATTATTATTGAAAATGGAGATCATTGCCACCCTCTTTCCTTCGGCCTCGCAGGAGCCATCTCGACGTGCCTGCTGGTGGTCCTGGGCATCTCCTCGCTGCCGTCCGTGACCGCCACCCTCTCCTGGCGCGAGTTCACCTTCATCCAGAGCAAGCTGGGCTGGGTGGCGCTCGTCGCCGCCTGCGCCCACGACATCTTCCTCGCCTGGAACTACATGTTCCTCTACTGGGGCTGCTTCAACACCCTGCCCATCGGGCCGCAGGTGGGGCTCGTTTTGTTGCCATGCGTATGATTAGGAATATACATTCACACACACACACTCATATCATACATACATGCATGTGTGTATACTGCGTATAGATATAATAAATCTATGATTACACTAGCGTTTGGAGACTGTCAATACTGATTCCTGTCAACCCATTTCCTTCCAGTATGCATTATACCCAGCATTCATCGCAATCATCATGAAGATCCCGCTGCTGCTGCCACCTGTTGACAACTACCTACAGAAAATCCGGAAGGGATACGAGCGCAACAGTAAATACGAATCGGGCAAGGCTGAAGTAGCATAAGCGTGGCGGCGGCATTTTAGGTGCTCTTGTGTTGTAAATTGTGAATCTCTCTTTCGTGTGATGTGTATCCCTTTTTCTCGTGGATACTGTATAGAGACTACTGGTTTTTCGTGCATAAACTTTTATCGCAGGTTTCAGCACGTGGTATATTTTCTCACGTGCTCCAAAAGGCTGCGAGAGTGAAATTAATGGAAGCTGGCAATTCAGTTGTAATATGATAATGTTCTACACATTTGGTTTTACATTATTGGTGTATGCTGATATCTTCACTTAAGTATGTAGTAGAATATGCACTAATGTGTGATGTATGGGAAGACACTTCAACGAAACTGAAGTGTAGAATTTAAAATAAAAGTATTTTTGGTACTTTCAACTGTGCTATATTTATGTGACATAAAATAATACGAAGAAATATCACATTACTCTTGTCTCTAAATGAACAGAATATTATTTTTACTGATTATTGTGCCATTTTACATGTGCACAGCTTGAGGGATTACTTGCCAACAATCCGGCTACATTTTAGACAAGTATGTGATTTGTTTCGAGAAGTAAACGTGCGGAATTCCTGTCCAACATATTGCGAATGGAACAGTGATGTGATGAACATATTCGCGTGTTTTCTTCTTCCTTTCGTTGTTCCATTTGCAAATCGGAAAGCAAAGTAATTGTCTTGTATAACAGGCAAATATTATGTGGACCGTCAAAGGTTTCACTTTTACTGCATGGTGTGTCTACCACAATGCACGATTTTTGAAGGATCTCTAAAAAAGATATTTTACGATATACGGCATTACTTTCTGAAAGTGTGTATCAAATATTTTCTTCATTGTTATTGTATCTGACATTTTTGTGCAATATATTTATGTACAGTAGACTTCATTTTAGATGCGGTCGGTTCCAGATGATATTGATCTTACCCCCCTGTACTAAAATATTAATGGATTTTGCATCTTCGCGTTAAAAAAAAAATGAATAATGCATTTCTCGAATTGTTTCTTGCACCGTGAAAATGCATATTCATTTTGATTTTATTTGTGAATATTTGTTCATGTTATTACGACTGATTGTATATGTTCCTAAGTACTGACTGCGGTTTATGGGAGCCAAGTTATGACGACTTTTCAATAGTTATGCATTATATAAGCTGGAAACCTAGTTTAATGGAGTATTTAGCTCCAAGAACCATTTCAAAGATCTAGTTGATTGTGTACAAGTGATGGTACAACCAGTTTTCAATGTGCAATCCTGGAACACTTGTGCAACCATTAGATACAAGGAGTCGAGTTTCATTTCCTTGTAGACGGATGTGTGTTCAGAAAATAAATGCTTATCCAAGGCATACTCACAGTCTTTGTTTATCCCTGTTTTTGTGCATTCCGGGTGCTATGTCTTTTGATTATGTTACTCATATTGCTTCGAAAATTATATGGTGTAGCAGATACTAAGGAATTTTTTATTTTCAGTCACGCAAACGAACCACGGGTTTTACACCTTAAGAAGTGGACAGAAGGGGATGAAGAAGAGAGGGAAAAGGAAAGGGGGAGAAGAAAATACCATGCAAAATTAGTTGATGCTAGGGATTGGGGGTACACTGGGAAAGGATTCTTGTGTAATTCCATTGAAGTATGTGCATGCACATATATACGTGTATAAATAGATAAATCTGTGTATGGTTGCATCTGTGTGCAACTGTGATTTGGAAAGAGAAATGGTGAAAAATAAATTTTGAAAAACAAATAGAAATAGGAAAAAAAAACTGAGAACAAGGAGTATAAGTAATATAGCAGAAAAAGTACAAGAAGGAAGTAGTAGAGAACGTGAAAGATAGAGATCAATATTATATGAATTAGTTTTCCGACCACAGCTCTGAATTTGCTTCAAACATAAATAAGAAAGTCAAACACTTATTCTAAATCTGGCCATTAAAACAAACTTTCTCCTCTGAATAAAGTCTATACCGGATCTTTGATGGAGGAGAGAGAACTTATCAATTTACTTTTACATATATACAAGTACGTTTGTGTTTATGCAAATGTGCGTGTGTGGTTAAGAACCTATAATCAGTCACAGTTGACAAGTTGGTGGTCTGACAGTTGACGATAATCGTTTGGTAATCGATACCTTAGCAAGTAAAAAAATATAGTACTATCCTGTTCATAAATTTTTCTAAGGACACTTCATTTTAAGGACAATTTAGAGCAACTTTATTGAAACAAGATAAAATAAAGTGCAAATACTTTTTAATACTTTCGGTTTTCATGATTTACCATCAGTTGAGATACATATTTGGATACATCTGTTAAATATGCACAATTAACAAATTTTACATTAAGCAGTGGCTCTTGTCTTGCATCATTTATGTCACGCATTACAAACTTGATCTACCTCTACTAGCAAAAACACAAATATAAATATACTGAGAAAACTTAAAAACTAATTACATGTTTATATATTACAAACAAACATTTTTCATCACAAAAAGGTCATTTTGAAGATAGTTGCATTTAAATGTTTTAGTTTTTTATCCGACCTATCAAGTTTTAATTCTGTCGTCAATGCAAGAGATTCACGTTAGAAGTTGATATACATTGTTCTCTGGGAATAGTATGAAAAAAAAAAAAAAAATATATATATATAAATATATATAAAATGGTATAATATTGGTAAAAGGGTAATCAAAATCTATTCTACCCAGGCAAAATTTTATTCCTGTGATAATAGTTAAGCTGGTAAGATCTGTCAGACTCAATGGGTATAACAAGTACCTATGCAAAATTATTATTACTGATAGTACATCTTCAAAACAACACAGTGAAAGACTGTAAGAGGAAGCCATGCCACTTGCTCTTCCTCTTTTTCTAAGAATCCATGGTAAGGCCAATACTGGGATACTTGTATATATTTTGAAAACTATTAATAGTTTACTTTGTGTATGGTTTAAAATATAACCTTTATGTGGTAACAGCATTTTTTAAAAATAGGGTCAAAAATTATAAAAACATCACCATGAGAAAGAAGAATGGAGAACAAGAAAGAAAGTCATTAACCGTATATATATATATTTGGATGCTAATTCTTGCTGGCTCTGATGGCCTGTCTCTGTTGCTTGTTGGCCACAGCCTGTGGAGAAAAATGATGCCCATTAGAAACTAAATTAAAGAGTAATAAACAGAGCTAGTTAAACTATCAACAACATCAAGAAAATAATACAAATAAACCTTTGAATACAGAAAGAAAATTAAAGATTTCTCTGCATTAAAGCTCGTAATTAGACCAACCTGGAAACCAGACTTGATGGGTGCAACAGAGCATCGAGAGTTACACTGCTCACACTGGAGGAAATAAAGTCGAGCATCTTTCTGAAGGATTGTGTCAGGGGACCGGCAAGTGTGGCAGGTAACGTATTCCTTGATATATCTATGGTTAGTGGAATAAAACAATATTATCAGCAAATTATAGTTGCTACTTCCAAAAGAAATTACATTTAGAATTAATTTAGCAACATACTTTATCTTCACTGAAGGTAATACTAACACTTTTTAAGAGCACTACATTTTTGTAAACAATCACAATTTGTAGACCTTGATGTCAATCAACTTACCGCCTAAGAACATTTTCAATTTGTTTTTGTTGGAATCTGCCTTTAATGATCAACTGATTATTACCTGAAAAATGAGGGAGGAAAGAAAATGTATTACCTTGCACAAAAAACAGAGAATTCGTCAAATAAGTTTGGCTTGAATACAGTAACTGTCCAACTAAATGAGCACGCAATGCATTTTCTCAAGTAAACCAAGTGGTCTAGGGTGGCATCACATATGCCATGTCCACTGTAATTTTAATCTATTGTGTCTACACACCAGTGGCACTACAAGTGCTTAATCACTTAAGGAAAACAGTACATTAGCATCTTGATACATCATATCAAATAACAAATAAAGATCTTGGAAACTGGCAAGAAAGCAAAAACCACTTTTGCAGAAAAATAAATAACATTGCATAGGCAAGCAAGGAGTCTTGATACTACGCATAAGTTTTAGCATGGGCTGGGCCTACAAACCACTTAGCTACACAGGAGAGTCGCCACTCAAGCAATACCCAATGCCCAGATTTCGGGTCACATGTCCAACGGGTTCATATCGATTCAGTGATTATAAATATTAACACCATAACCATTATCTTGTTTAAAAACTAAAATCAATAAAAAAAATCTGCAAATCAATCAAAAGGGAAAATAGGTGAGATAGGGAGAACTAATGTAAACAACACCTAATAAACATAAATCACAATGGACATGACACATACTATAAGCCATCCCAGAACAATGCTCATTTGTTATATTCCTTTTCATTCCAACCACTGCTTACAATAAGACAGTTCAGCCCTCAAAATTTATGATAAACCATATAAATATCTATGATAAACACTTTTTGGTTGCTAAGTCTAATAACTTCTACATTACACCATCAGTGTAAATGAAGCATAACTAAAGATATAACAATCTATCAAAAGTGAACAAAAATTTAAAATGGGTAGTTTCTTTTTATCTCAAGATAATCTGGGATGATTCAAGTATAAAGTTGGAAAAAATTCTGGTGTAAATGTTCTTTAACTCTAAAGGTTTCTAAGAGTGTAGCCATCACAAAGAAGCATAAAATATTGTACACCATGGTGAATCTGAAACTCATAATCCCTAGAAGTTAAATGTGGGACCAATTCATGACGGTTAAACACTAATGAAAGTTGGAGATATTTAAAACATGTAACGATCAATGGAAAAAGTACTTAATCTCTGAGTAATAGATATCGAATCAGAGAAAACATGCGCACAAAATGTCTCTGATCCATGAAAGCCTTTTTAAAGACCTTGATTAAAAACTAATTCTTGTACACACTCGCTACCAAACTGAAGGTACAACCAATAAAAATATTAGAGCAGAGACTTCATGGTCCTACAAGTTAATGCAATTCAGCTTTTTTCTGCAAGAGAAAGATAAACAAACTATGACTAACTCACCGTCAATACTTCCAGAGGTACCTAACTCAGCCAGTAAGAACTGAAGTAAATGTTTCGGCATTCTATGTAGTAAGCGGCAGATTTCTGAGAAGTTGGCAAATGCGGTTTTCTTTGATCCAATTCTTACAACCTGTGGGATACGGGTTTTAACATAAATTCCTGATCTATTTAGATAATCAATGTAGTTAACATGGTTTAGCTTCAAAATCATTTCATTTTGCTACAATGGCATACTGTATACTGGTATTCTGAATGTCAAAAGCAAAACAGTATCTAAAATCTGAGGACATAGAATGCTCTCTTACCTGTGGGGGCTTCATTACGAATTTCTTCTTCTCTCCGGTTGCCATTTCTGGGTTCTTCTCTCGGAGCTGATTAAAAGCACGTTCCAGGAGCTCATCGTAAGTGTAGTCTCTCTCTGAGCCAGACCATCCATCTCCTGTTTCTGTAATATTTTAATAATTTTTTTTTTTTTTTACATCAAACTGAGACAATGGAAGAAGTGGGAGGGGAGTAGAGAGTAAGAGAGAAAGGGGGAGGGAGGAGGGGGAAATAATAGGGCAAAAGAGCCAGAGAAAGAGAATGCTATATTCTTATGAATAGTATTATTCACTGTTTAAATTCCAACAACAGAGACCTTTGTGCAGATATCAAATACAAATTTATGAAACAGGTTTTCTCATCTTGGTGCGATATAATCTGAAGTGGAAGGTGAACTATTGCATCTCCTTATATCATCTTATTGCCTATGAATAAGAGAACTCCACACGACACACCCTTGCTTGCACCCCTTCCCTGTCCATGCATTAGGCCGTCCATTCACACACTACTTACCTCTTGTTTCTTCACATACTACAGACTCCTCTGAGAGCAAGAGTAAAACATTTTGTATCATTAATCTCTGGGTATGAAATTATTGTGAACATGAAAACCATATTTCTAAGTTCTGCAGCAATAGAATCAATTTTTACGATTAACAAAAATTTTGAAAAAAATGAAGTCAATGTCTCCCATCTCTCTAATTTGCCAACAATATACATCATAAATTCTGTTTACCACCATTACAATTTGCCAAAAGAAATCTCAAAATCAAATGAAAATAAATCAGCCAATTTTAACCATATGCAAAGAAAAAAGTGTACTTAGGCTAAGTAGCAGATTTTCCCAATGCTCAGTAACTAGCAGCTGTAAAAATACAGACTAGAACTTATAAATAAATCTATATGTATCACTTACTACTACATGGCAAAAAATAGGCATTTGTATAAGGTTAGAAATATCTAACCATTCAATAATATTGATGAAGATCCAAATTTTCAACTAGTTGA